TAAAGTTTCTACGATCTGATCGCGGAGACAAATATTTGAGTTACGAGTTTGGTCTTCAATTAAAACAATATGGAACAGTTTCACAAACTCATGCCACATGGAACACCACAGCATAATGGTGTGTCCGAACGTCATAACCGTACTTTATTGGATATAGTGCAATCTATGATGTCTCTTACCGATCTACCACTATCGTTTTGGGGTTATGCATTAGTGACAGCTGCATTCACGTTAAATAGGGCACCATCTAAGTCCGTTGAGACGACATAATCTGAACTGTGGTTTGGCAAGAAACCAAAGTTGTCATTTCTTAAAGTTTGGGACTGCGATGCTTATGTGAAAAAGTTTCAACATAATAAGCTCGAACCCAAATCGGAGAAGTAAATCTTCATAGGATATCCAAAGGAAACTATTGGATACACCTTCTATCACATATCCGAAGGCAAGACTTTTGTTGCTAAATTCGGAAACTTTCTAGAGAAGGAGTTTCTCTCGAAAGAAGTGAGTGGGAGGAAAGTAGAAAACTTGATAAGGTAATTGTACCTTCTCCCTTATTGGAAAGTAGTTCATCACAGAAATTTGTTCTTGTGACTACTACACCAATTAGTGAGGAAGCTAATGATGATGATCATGTAACTTCAGATCAAGTTACTACCGAATCTCGTAGGTAAACCAGAGTGAGATCCGCACCAGAATGGTACGATAATCCTGTTCTGGAAGTTGTGTTACTAGACCATGACGAACTTGCGAACTATGAGGAAGCGATGATGAGCCCAGATTCCGCGAAATGGCTTGAAGCCATGAAATCTGAGATGGGATCCATGTATGAGAACAAAGTATGGACTTTGGTTGACTTGCCCGATGATCGGCAAGCAATTGAGAATAAATGGATCTTCAAGAAGAAGACTGACACTGATGGTAATGTTACTGTCTACAAAGCTCGACTTGTCGCAAAAGTTTTTCGACAAGTTCAAGGGGTTGACTACGATGAGACCTTCTCACCCGTAGCGATGCTTAAGTCTGTCCGAATCATGTTAGCAATAGCCGCATTTTATGATTATGAAATTTGGCAGATGGATGTCAAAACTGCATTCCTGAATGGATTTCTGGAAGAAGAGTTGTATATGATGCAACCGGAAGGTTTTGTCGATCCAAAGGGAGCTAACAAAGTGTGCAAACTCCAGCGATCCATTTATGGACTGGTGCAAGCCTCTCGGAGTTGGAATAAACGCTTTGATAGTGTGATCAAAGCATTTGGTTTTATACAGACTTTCGGAGAAGCCTGTATTTACAAGAAAGTGAGTGGGAGCTCTGTAGCATTTCTGATATTATATGTGGATGACATATTACTGATTGGAAATGATATATAATTTCTAGATAGCATAAAGGGATACTTGAATAAGAGTTTTTCAATGAAAGACCTCGGTGAAGCTGCTTACATATTAGGCACAAAAATCTATAGAGATAGATCAAGACGCTTAATTGGACTTTCACAAAGCACATACCTTGACAAGATTTTGAAGAAGTTCAAAATGGATCAAGCAAAGAAAGGGTTCTTGCCTGTGTTACAAGGTGTAAAGTTGAGTCAGACTCAATGCCCGACCACTGCAGAAGATAGAGAGAAAATGAAAGATGTTCCCTATGCTTCAGCCATAGGCTCTATCATGTATGCAATGCTGTGTACCAGACCTGATGTGTGCCTTGCTATAAGTTTAGCAGGGAGGTACCAAAGTAATCCAGGAGTGGATCACTGGACAGCGGTCAAGAACATCTTGAAATACTTGAAAAGGACTAAGGATATGTTTCTCGTATATGGAGGTGAACAAAAAGGTTCGCCTTAAAAAGTTACGTCGATGCAAGTTTTGACACAGATCTGGATGACTCTATGTCTCGATCTAGATACATATTGAAAGTGGGAGCAATTAGCTAGAGTAGCTCCGAGCAGAGCATTGTTGACATAAATATTTGCAAAATACTTACGGATCTGAATGTGACAGACCCGTTGACTAAAATTATCTCACAAGCAAAACATGATCACACCTTAGTACTCTCCGGGTGTTAATCACATAAGCGATGTGATCTAGATTACTGACTCTAGTAAAACCCTTTGGGTGTTGATCACATATCGATGTGAACTATGGATGTTAATCACATGGTGATGTGAACTATTGCTGTTAAATCACATGGCGATGTGAACTAGATTATTGACTCTAGTGCAAGTGGGAGACTAAAGGAAATATGCCCTAGAGGCAATAATAAAGCTATTATTTATTTCCTTATATCATGATAAATGTTTATTATTCGTGCTAGAATTGTATTAACCGGAAACATAATACTTGTGTCAATACATAGACAAACAAAGTGTCACTAGTATGCCTCTACTTGACTAGCTCGTTAATCGAAGATGGTTATGTTTCCTAACCATAAACAAAAGAGTTGTTATTTGATTGACGGGATCACATCATTAGGAGAATGATGTGATTGACATGACCCATTCCATTAGCTTAGCACCCGATCGTTTAGTATGTTGCTATTGCTTTCTTCATGACTTATACATGTTCCTATAACTATGAGATTATGCAACTCCCGTTTGCCGGAGGAACACTTTGGGTGCTACCAAACGTCACAACGTAACTGGGTGATTATAAAGGAGCATTACAGGTGTCTCCAAAGGTAGATGTTGGGTTGGCGTATTTCGAGATTAGGATTTGTCACTCCGATTGTCGAAGAGGTATCTCTGGGCCCTCTCGGCAATGCACATCACTTAAGCCTTGCAAGCATTGCAACTAAATGAGTTAGTTGCGGAATGATGTATTACAGAACGAGTAAAGAGACCTGCCGGTAATGAGATTGAACTAGGTATTGGAATACCGACGATCGAATCTCGGGCAAGTAACATACCGATGACAAAGGGAACAACATATGTTGTTATGCGGTCTGACCGATAAAGATCTTCGTAGAATATGTAGGAGCCAATATGGGCATCCAGGTCCCGCTATTGGTTATTGACCGGAGACATGTCTCGGTCATGTCTACATTGTTCTCGAACCCGTAGGGTCCGCACGCTTAAGGTTACGATGACAGTTATATTATGAGTTTATGCATTTTGATGTACCGAAGTTAGTTCGGAGTCCCGGATGTGATCACGCACATGACGAGGAGTCTCGAAATGGTCGAGACATAAAGATTGATATATTGGAAGCCTATGTTTGGATATCGGAAGTATTCCGGGTGAAATCGGGATTTTTTCGGAGTACCGGGAGGTTACCGGAACCCCCCGGGAACCATATGGGCCTTAGTGGGCTTTAGTGGAAAGGAGAAAGGGGCAGCCGAAGGTGGGTTGCGCGCCTCCCCCTCCCCTAGTCCTATTAGGACTAGGAGAGGTGGCCGGCCCCCTCTCTCTCTTCCCCCCCCGAGGAATCCTATTCCAACGAGGATTGGGGGGGGGGGGAATCCTACTCCCGGAGGGAGAAGGACTCTCCTGGCGCGCCCCTTGTGGCCGGCCAGCCTCCCCCCTTTGGTCCTTTGTATACTGAGGTAGAGGCACCCTAGAACACACAAGTTGATCCACGTGATCTATTCCTTAGCCGTGTGCGGTGCCCCCTGCCATCATAGTCCTCGATAATACTGCAGTGGAGTTTAGGCGAAGCCCTGCTGCTGTAGTGCATCAAGATCGTCACCACGCCATCGTGCTGACGGAACTCTTCCCCGACACTTTGCTGGATCGGAGTCCGGGGATCGTCATCGAGCTGAACGTGTGCTCGAACTCGGAGGTGCCGTAGTTTCGGTGCTTGATCGGTTGGATCGTGAAGACGTACGACTATTTCCTCTACGTCGTGTCAACGCTTCCGCAGTCGGTCTGCGTGGGTACGTAGACAACACTCTCCCTTCTCGTTGCTATGCATCACATGATCTTGCGTGTGCGTAGGAAATTTTTTGAAATTACTACAAAACCCAACAGTGGCGGTGGTGGCCACCTCCTTCGCCGGACGTGGTCGGCCTGAGGCTGGGTGGTCGGATCTCAAGATCCGTCATGTAGTCCCAGCTGTGAGTTGGGGAGACATAGTTGCCGGTGAAAACCGAGCCATTTGCGGACGGTGGCGGCGTTTTGCACCGTTACCTTTATGAAGACATCGTCGTGTAACTGTTGTTGACTCACTCGTGCTGCTTCAGGGAAAACCCTAGGATCTGGTCTTTCAGATCGGACGATGGCAGTACCGCGGTGCCGTTTCTCTCTTGGGAGCATCGTTCGTGGAGCAGCGCTGAAAGCCAGAGGAGGAGGTGGAGCGGCTTTGTCTTGCACGGAGCTTCAGTGGATTTGTCAAGCCATGCCTGGCCGACGGGTGCTACACTGAGTCATGCCTAGTTGGCAGGTTACACACGACAGATCTTCCAGAGTTTTCGCGTCTGCACGGATGAGCGCAGGGCGGTGGCGCCGTGGTGGCGTCGACGGATGTCTGGACTTGCAAGAATGATGCGGATCTCTCTTCTGAAGATGAGTTTGTGGTCTGACGATGATGACGGCGGCTTCTAAAACGTGTGCATGTGGTGTGCGCTTTCTGCTACACCGACTGTTGGTTCCGATACATTACGTGGGTGGATCACCGACGACATCGGTTTTAGATATGGGGAGTGAGAGAACTCCACATTATCGAATTTATAGATGTGAGTGGTGGCCTCGGATGGATTGATGCATGTTCTTGTCAAACCTTTGTGGAATAATTAATAAAGATGGTTGCATGCATCGATTGATGCAGAGGTAGGAGGTTTACCTCCTTTTCGAAAAGAACTTTTTTTATACATAAAACAAAAAATCAACAATTTAGATCGGTCATTATTAAGTTATAGTAACACTTAATACGGTAGATGCTAATACAAAATATGCCATGCCCGCCACTGAACGAGAGTAATTCGGTCATAGACGCCTTTGGGAAGCAAGAGAGACAACTCGAGATATTTTTTTCCTTTCTCACAACAATGCAAATTAACAGAGTGATTGATCAGTCCGACGATCCGGACTGGAAGATGATAAATGCGGTGACGACCCCGACCACTCCGGTGAGCCCCAGCGCCAACGCCGGCAGCGGCGCCATCAGCCCTACGTTCTGTAGAGAAGCAAAGCAACGCTAGTCACGCACTCACGCTTCCATTTTTTTTACCATCAAACAGGGAAAGAGAGCTGGCACGCGAGCTGCTGAACCTGAAGCACCCCTTTGCCGGTGGTGAGCTCCACGCCGACCGCCCCGAAGAAGGCGAGCATGGCGCCGCGGCTGAGCCACACGTCCAGCCCGGGGCCGCCCTTGGACCCCTGCTCGCACCTCACGCTCAGGGATTTGAGCCTCACGCTCCTCCTGCTCACTACCAAGTACAAAGGTGAGTAGTAAGCGGAAATTTGACAAAACGCCAGCTCTGGGCAATACGAACTGGTGAAAATTGCTACACTTTGAGACGGCCGTGTAAGAATAAACTGAAGGGAACAGAAAATTGCCGAAGAGAACAATGGAAGATCTAGCTTAAATTACTACCACGAGCAGCAGAGCGGGCCGACGTCACGGACAAGCGGGGGACGCCATTGCCTGCACGGAGAGGACGCGAAGCTAGTCAGGGAGAGGGAGCTAGCTGAAGAGGGCACGAGGTTTTACGACGCTACTTCAATTTCCTGCACGCGGATAAAAGGATTTTTTTTTGCCAGGAATCTGCCCTGGCAAGCGAGAGCAGAGAAAGAGAGAGGCGACTGAGCATGGCTACCTGGCGTCGCGGCGAGACGGAAGCTGGGAGCAGCGGAGGAGAGAGGGAGGAGCTGAGCCATGGATGGATGGGTGGGAGTCGGTGAGGTGGGGAAGGGAGGAGGAGGAGGAGGAGAGGACCAGCTTCTAGCCGCTTCCTTGTAGACACCTTATCGGTACGAGATCGACCGATGGCAGCCGCACGTTCAAGCAGTGCCTGGCCTGCATATGGCACATCAGATCAGATATTTCATTCATTCACTCCGCAAGGCACACAGTGTCACGGTTTAGCAAGGTACTCCCACCACCTTCGGGGAAGACTTAACATGAATTACAATCTTAAAAGATACTCTTAACAGTGCATTTTACAGGCACAGCAAGAACACATCGAGACGGAAATACAGCAGTAAAATTACAACCAGAACAAGACCCCAAGCTTTTAACACCATTGAAGCCCCAAGCTTCCGCCAAACAATCTCTCTGTCTCTAAGATCCGTGCGGATGCCGGCGTGGCCGGGTGGTCTAGTGGTGTTCTTCATACAAAGGAAAAGTAGGCAAACAAGTTGTAACCATGCATTTGCATGCGAAAATGCAGGCCACCTTTTACAAACACAAAGTTGACACAGAGCATACATGCCATCAACACCCTCTTCAGTCATCAACTTCCATCAAATGCGGATTGCAACAACCGAATCCATACATATGGCCAGATTAATCGAACCCTGCGGAATTACTGAGTGTGCACTGCAACAACTTACAATATAATCCTCACAGAAATCTATGAAATTCCCCTGTCCTAAACAAGCATGCAAGTAGTAATGGCATAGCACATACAGATCTGAGTGGCACAGCAGCGGCTGACTAGCACCACCATAGGAGAAGTGCGGCGACGACAGCGCAGAGCATCCGGGGATGGAGCTGCACTCCGGTCTGCGAGTGGGACCCGGAATGGAGCCCGTGGCGCCCGGCCGGCGGGCTGCGGCGGTCGATCCCAGGCGGCGGCATCCTCCCGCAGTTGCAAGCAGCGGTGGGCGGCTGCATCTGCCCGCAGCTGCACGGTGTCGGCGTCGGCGGCGGGACGGTGAGAGGAAGCGCCGACGGCGGCGGAGGAGAGTAGTAGAAGAATGGATGCACCATTGGCGGTTGCCCAGCGCCCCCGTCGGCGGCGGCGGCCGGCCGCGGCAACGGCGTGGCCAGGAGGAGGAGCAGGAGGAGGAGCTGTTGCTGGGGTGCCATGAGAGCTGAGGGCGAGATGGGTGCGTCAGTGCGTGGCTAAGCAGATGGTGAAACTATTTTTTTAACACGGCAGTCGGCAGATAGTGAAACTTAAGCCGTGCACTGCATGGGTGCCTCGTGGTACACTGTTACTGGTCTGGCACCAGACAAAGCTTTCAAGTATTTTCAAGCTCACTGTCGGATGGAAAAAAGGAAGAGGAGGAGGGCAAACTCCTCATTTGCAGCACGAACTAGACCACGAAGTTCGAATTCCATGGCCGAAGTAGGGTTTATTGCACAGGAATTCCACCAAACCTTCCTCACCTCGTTACAATTCAAAATTACAAGCCGGCCAAATGGCCACTTCTTCCTCGCCAAGTTTCAATTGCTGCAGCTTTTTTTACGTCATTCAAACGCTACGGCTAGGTAACCATATATGTGGAAAAACGTTACTAGGTCAAAGACCAATTGACGACCTGCAAGCCGGCTGGAAGTCGCGTCTCTTTTCTGGGTCGGGCCGCTGGCCCATTGCTTGAATTTGGATTCCCGCTAACCCTGGCGCCCTTGACAACCCCCCCTCCTTCAGAACCATCTTGTCCCCAAGCCACTGACGAGGGAGCTGCTGGCGAAGATAATTTAAATCTTCCCAGGTAGCAACGGAAGCATTCGTGCCTCTCCATTGAGCGATCACTTGCAGAATGGTACGATGTCCTCGTTGAGGAACACGGTGCTGCAGAATTTTGACATGAACCTCAAGAAGAGTGTCAGGAGGAGGAAGAGCTGATTGTACCTGATGGTGGGAAAGTACACATGCTTTAGTTGAGATACATGGATAATTGGGTGAATTCCACTCGAAGGTGGAAGATTCAAACAACAAGCTAGCTCTTCAATCTTTTCAGTGATGACATAGGCCCCACAGTATTTAAAAGAGAATTTTATGATTAGCTCTCCTAACCACAGAGAATTGCACATCTGGCTGTAACTTTAGGAACACTTGACTACCCACTTGAAAATGACTTTCAGTTCTCTTCTTTATCAACCTGAGATTTCATTCTCTCTTGAGGTATGAGCAACTTTGTCTAATTAAATCAATAACAAGAGCCCTTTATGCCAACTTCCAACCAGTGAGTAATGTCACTGTAAGCAACAACATCATGGCAGAAATACCAAATATCCGGGAGCATGGCCATATAAGATTTCAAATGGGGTTTTGCTAAGGAAGAATGCCAATTTGTACTATGCCAGAACTCACATAACCATTTAGACTATTTGTGAGCATGAGCACTGATAAAGCATCTCAACGAGCATTCCACCAGTTGATTAACTCTTTCTCTTTGTCCATCAGTTTCAAGGTGATTGGGAGTGCTCATTTTCAACTCACTACTAGTAGCTTTCATCACAAGTTTCTAGAATGTACTATTGAAAATAGGATCTCTATCTGATACAATGAATTTGGGCATGTTGTGTAGCTTGTAAACATTGTCAACGAGCACATCTGCTACTTTCAGAGCATTAAAAGGAGGTTGGAGAGAACAAAATGGACATATTTAGTAAATTTGTCAATCACCACTAAAATACAATTGTATTAGCCTGAAACTAGTAATCCACTAATAAAATGCTTTGTAACCATCTCCCGATATTGTCCTAAAATGGGTAAGGGACAGAGTAACCCATGATATGCTACTCTTTCATGTTTTGCATGCTGACAAATGATACATGACTTGAATGTGTCTCTGATAAATTTTCTCAGGCCAATCCGACAAAATAATGCATGAAGATATTCTTATATTGTAGATAGTCTTATATTGTAGCCCCATCATTTTGCTAAAGCCTTGTGTTAGCCATGTTGTTTGCAATCTTTGAGTTTTTATGTGAGCTAAAATCTTCCGATCACCTCTAATTGTAAACTCATGAACATGAAGACATGGTCTCCAGTGTTCAACTGCTAGCAGAATGGCCAAATATTCTTTTTCATACACCACGAGATATTGATTCTTATGGACTAAAGCTTTAGGCCATAAGCAAGAAGGTTCCCAGATTGCATTAACACAACTCCAATATTATGTCATGGGCATCAGTTTCAATGACGAAATGTTTACTGAAATCTGGGAGAGCCAAAACTGGAGTTGACATAAGAGCTTGCTTTAATGTGTGGAAAACTACTTTAGTGTGAGAGGTCCACAAGAATTGAACTCTTTTTGTAAGTAATTGACTGAGAGCTTTAGCTTAATAACTTTCCTGTAATAGCCCGTAAATCCCTGAAAACCTCTAATTTCTTTTGCATTAAAGTAGGCACACGCCATTCAGCTATATCTGTAAATTTACATGGATTTGTACTCACTCCTTCATGACTAATAACATGTCCCAAATAAGCAATTGTTCTCTGACCCAAAGCACATCTACTCTGCTTTACCTTTGATACTTCTCACACACATTTATAATTTTTGATTGTTATATTATCACTTTTGAATACTTTTTGTAGCATTTTATATTATTTTGCTGGACTAACCTATTAATCTAGTGTCTAGTGTCAGTTCATGTTTTCTGCATGTTTTTTGTTTTTTCAGAAATCTATATCTACCGAGGTCAAAATACCGTGCCAATTTAGTACTTTTTTCGTAGCACGAAGGTTCCAGGAAGCATCTGGGGAGAACGAGAGGAGCCAAGGGGCCCCACAAGACCACCTGGCACGCCTAGGGCCTAGGGTGCGCCCTTGGCAATGTGGGCCCCACTTCCATCGTCTTTCATCCATCCCACTGCCATAAATTCTTCTAAATAGAGAAAACATATGAGATATTTTATCCATTTTTTCGTCACCGCCAGTTTCTGTTCTGAGGAGATCCAATAGAGGCATGTTCCGATGCTCTACATGAAGGAAATATGCCCTAGAAGCAATAATAAAGTTTTTATTTTATGTTTCCTTATTAATGATAAAGGTTTATTATTCATGCTAGAATTGTATTGATCGGAAACTTAAATATATGTGTGAGTACATAAACAAACACTGTGTCCCTAGTATGCCTCTACTGGACTGGCTCGTTGATCAAAGATGGTTAGGGTTTCCTAACCATAGACATGTGTTGTCATAGGATAACGGGATCACATCATTAGGAGAATGATGTGATGGACAAGACCCATCCGTTAGCTTAGCATAATGATCTTTCAGTTTATTGCTATTGCTTTCTTCATGTCAAATACTTATTCCTTCGACTATGAGATTATGCAACTCCCAGATACCGGTTGAATACCTTGTGTGCTATCAAACGTCACAACGTAATTGGGTGATCATAAAGATAGTCTACAGGTATCTCCGAAGGTGTTTGTTGAGTTGGCATAGATCGAGATTATGATTTGTCACTTCGAGTATCGGAGAGGTATCTCTAGGCCCTCTCGGTAATACACATCATAAGCTTGCAAGCAAACGACTAAGGAGTTAGTCACGAGGTGATGTATTACGGAACGAGTAAAGAGACTTTCCGGTAACAAGATTGAACTAGGTATGAAGATACCGACGATCGAATCTCGGGCGAGTAACATACCTATGGACAAAGGGAATTATGTATGTTGTCATAATGGTTCGACCGATAAAGATCTTCGTAGAATATGTAGGAGCCAATATGGGCATCCAGGTTCCTCTATTGGTTATTGACCGGAGAGGTGTCTCGGTCATGTCTACATAGCTCTCGAACCCGTAGGGTCCGCACGCTTAACGTTCGATGACGATATAGTATTATATGAGTTATGTGATTTGGTGACCAAATGTTTTTTGGTGTCCTGGGTGAGCTCACAGACATGACGAGGAGTCTCGAAAAGTTCAAGAGGTAAAGATTGATATATAGGATGATGGTATTCGGACACCGAAAGTGTT